AACAAAGATTCTCACAATGGGCCAATTGGCAGCAGCATCATAGAAAGAGAAGAGACTGAGATCGTTAACAATTTCAGCTTGCTCAGTTCCACAATCAACACTCTTGGCACCATCAGTCAGAAAACAAAAAAGATTAATTGCACGAGGTAAGTTTGCTCTCAGGGACCTCTCCAAAATGCTAAAAAGCAATGATGTTAGTCTAGAGACTGAAGTTCACCTGACTGATGTCATGGTATTTACAACTACTTTCTATATACATCAGAGAGCTGGACTATGATTAAAGATGATAGAAGAATCGATGCCTTTGAGTTGTGGTGCTGTAAAAGAGTTCTGAACATATCATGGACTTCCAGGAGAACCAACTTTCTCCTTGAGGCAAGGATTTTGAAGCTCTGTCTCACATACTTTGGGCACATAGCCAGGAGGGACCAGTCCTTGTAGAGGACATCATGCTTGGTAGGGTGGAGGGACAGTGCAGGAGAGGAAGACCCTGGTTTAGGCAGAGGGACACAGTAACTGAAGCAATAGGATTAGCTGGTTAGAAGTCAGTGAGACTGGTTCAGGATCAGGCACTAGCACATAACAACAACAACAGCAAGCTTAGAGGTGTATTATGTATTAAATTATGTCCTTATTCCTCAAAAAATATGTGTTGAAACCATAGCCTCTGTACTTTAGAATATGATCTTGTTTGGAATTAGAGGTCTTTCTTTTGGCTTTATTAATGAACTCATATCCGTGTAGGGTGGGTCCAAAGCCCAATCACTTCTGAGTTCTAAAACAGAAGATATGAGAGAGAGAGAGAGAGGAGGGAGGTGGGAGAGGGGGAGAGAGGGGAGAGACAGACCGACAGACCGACAGACATGTATCTACAGCCAGGAACAATGAGGGTTACTGGCACCTCCTTGAAGCTGAAATAGACAAAACAAACACCTCCCCCTAGACCCATACCCTGAATCCAGACTTCCCATTTCCAGACTTATAACAAATTAATTTCTGTTTTTTAAAGTCACACACTTGTGGTATTTCTGTTACAGTAGCTCTAGGAAACTGAAACTAATGTTATCCTGAAGCCCATGAGAACCCACTGAAGAGTAAAAATACCAAGGAACAATTTGATCATATTTTCATTTCTTCCTGTGTTTTAAGGATGGACTAGAATGAGCAGTGGGCACACAAAGGGCGACCAGTCAGGAGGACATTGGGGGATGAGACTTGAGTCGACAGTGGCCAAAATGAAGATGATCATATTGCAAAAGAGCTTTGTAAACCTTAAATTGTATTATTGAATGAAATACATTTTCTATGATAGAGAAGGTGGAAAAGGGAGTGAGAGAGAGGGAGAAAGATAGCCAGGAAGGAAGAAGCAAAAAGAACTTGACTTTCCCTGCTACCCTGCCATTAAATAAGGCCACATTTCGGCAACTCACTCGGGCAGGATAAAAGTAATGAGGTGGAGAAGAAAAAATAAAAGAAGGGTATTCCCAGGGCCATGAGTTGCAAAACTCATTTTTCTTTTCTCAGTAAATCACTGAATGTAGTTGTGTTCACATTTCTGCAGTACCTAAGTGAACGTGGTGGTGGTTACACGACAAGAGTTCACCGCTCCCTCTGGAGACGGAAAGGAGGAACTTCCCGCATTCATTCCATTACACAGGCCAGCCCATTATTACTCCATGGCGGATTTGGAGAAGCCCATGAGGAATCAACCTGTTCTGAATACTGGTACTTGTCTCTGTATATGTGAACGTAAAGCTCAACTGACTTTTAAGATGGTGCTAGGACAGCAGATTGAGGGTCTTTGAAAAGATAAGACTTTCCAGGGGCAGGATTCACAAGGAAAATGGAAAGAAATAGAAGGAGAACTAGTAAAACATATATGAGGATTCAGCGGGGGCAGAGCTGAGGATGGGTAGGGGTGAAACCACAGGGTTGCACAGTTTGGTTGATAGAGGGAGGGAGGGAATAAAATGGGAAGGATCCAGGTGAAAAGACAGGGTAATGATGGGCAAGGTCCAATGGTGATTAATTTTATAAAATAAAATTACATGGGAATCATTGTATGAAACACAATGTGAATGAAGAACAGTGTGAAACACAATATACACAGACTTTTTAAGCAAACTAATAAAAAATTAACAGTTATAAATGTACACACATTTAGGGTTGTGACAGTTCCAGGGTAAATGACTAAGAATTGCAGAAAGGTGAGTCTTCCTCCAGTCTACCTGTCTTCCTACATGCTTTATATTTTTCCTGTGAAAAGTAACGTTACTACTACCAGTAAAATGGAATAACCATATAATCTTTTATTTGGTATAAAATACTACAGAAGAAGCATACATTATTGTGCAAGCCAAATGCATAAGCGGGAACTGGGTGAGAAACAGAACAAGCCAGCCTTCCTCGTGACAGATCACAAGGAATGAAGTGTTCCCTGCAAACAAGGACCTCTGCCTTCAACATTCCACAGATGGGGTGTTATGCCTGTGCTTTGCAAATCATTCTATATCTGAGACTAGAAAAGAATGTCAGCAGAAGATCACAAAGAGAAAAATATACACTCATTAGTAAAGAATTTTTTCTTTGATTTACTATCTTTGTTGTTGTTATGTGACATCTAGTCACCTGCAACTCATAGTGACCCTATGTACAACAGCCCCAAAACCTGCTCTATCCTATGCCAGTCTGTGTTGACACACCTACCCCCATTACCCTAGTCACTGAATCAATCCCTCTCATTGAGGGTCTTCCTTTCCTGGGCTGTCCCTTCACTCTCCCAAGCATGACATCTCTCTCCAAGGACTGGTGCCTCCTTGCAGCATGTCCAAAGTATGTCAAATGAAGCTTCAGAATCCTTCCCTGTAAGAAGCAGCCTGTTTTCACCCTCTCCAGGACTAGCCTGTTTGTTCTCTTAGCAGTCCATGGTATATTCAATACTCTTCTCCAGCACCACAGCTCAAAGCCATCAATTCTCCTTCTATCATTCCTAGTCAATGTCCTGCTCTCTGAGGTATAGTAAGTGATTGCAAAGATCATTGCCTGGATCAGGCACATCCTAGTCTCCAGACTCACATCATTGCTCTTCAGTACTTTGGAGAGGTCTTCGACGGCAGACTTTCCCAATGCAATTTATCCTTTAATTTCCTGGCTGCTGGTAGCAAGAGTGTGGATTGTGGAGCCAAGCTAACTATAGTTGTTAACAATCTCAATCTCTTCACCGTTTACCATGATGCTGCCAATCGACCCAGTGGGGAGAATCTTTATTTTCTTGATATTGAACTTCAATCCATATTGAAAGCTGCAGTCCTTGACCTTCTGCAGCAAGCACTTTAGTTCCTCCTCAGTTTCAGCAAGCAGGATTGTGTCATCTGTATTCATACTATTTCCTAATAAAAGCTAAAATTAGTCTTAGCTCTGCGCTGCAGTCTCTGAGAGATTAGCTCCCTGCTTACTCTCCTTCAGGTGTTATTCCCGGTGTCCATGTCTTTTCTTTGTTCCTGGTCAAGAATGTATTATCTTCATAGTATAATCTATTTTTCCAGCTTATAAACATGATTTTTAAATTTATTCTTTCTACATTTGGGCCAAATAAAATGAATAAATAGTTGAGTGCACATGTATTATCTCAGAAAATTTATTTATTATTGATTATTACATGTTTTTGATAAAAAGTGGGAGATGAGCAATTGTTTTCCATGTGATTGTTGTTGTTGTTAGGTGCCATTGAGTTGAGTACGACCCATAGCAACACTATGAACTAAAAGATCTGAACCCAGTCCTGTCCTGCACTATCCTCACACTTCCTGACACACAAGAGCCCACTGCAACGCTCACTGTGTCAATCCACCTGGCTGAGGATTTTCCTCTCCTTTGCCGACCCTCCACTCTTCTCAACATCAAGGCCTCCCCCAAGGAATAGCCCCTCCTAGCAATATGTCTGAAGTATGTGAGCCAAAGCCTCATCATTCTTGCGTCCAAAGGGCACTCTGGCCACACCCTCTCCAAAACATATTTAGTCATTCCCTTGGCCGTCCATGGGATGTTCAGTGCTCTTCTCCAGCACCACCGCTCAAAGGCGTCGATTCTTTTTTTGTCATTTTTATTCATTGTCCAAGTCTCAGATGCATATATGATTACTGGCAAGATCATGGCCTGAATCAGACGCACCTTAGTTCTCGAACTGACATCACTCCTCAATAATTTGGAAAGGTCTCTAACTGCAGATTTTCCCAGTGTAATGTGTCTCCTTATTTCCTGACTGCTCATACCAAGTGTGATAACTGTGGATCCAAACAAGATCAAGCTATTGACAGTTTCAATCTCTTCTCCATCCATCATGACACTGCCTATTGGTCCAGTGGTAAGAATCTTTGTTTTGTTGATACTGAGATGCTGAAAACCTGCTGTAAGATATGAGTCAATTTTAACTTGGCAATGAGAGAGAAAGAATTGATAAATAATTACACAATAAAATAAATAATTAAATAAATAGAAATCTATCAGAATCCCATTGAGATTAATATTTTGTTGTTGTTGTGTGCTGTTGAGTTGGAACCGATCCATAGCTGACCTTCTGACAGGTTTTCAGTTAATTCTATGGGAGAAAATTGCCCATCCGTCTTCTGTGAAGTAGATAGTAGCTTCAAACAGCATGCCTCTGGGATTACAGGACAGTTTTTTGCCACTAGGCCAACAGAGATTAACATTTTAAGTGTCTAAATTTAAAAGGCTATTCTCCTTATTGGTGGCATAGATCAATGGTGATTGATTTTATAAAACACAGTGTACATAAATGATTGTATGAAGAAAAATGGGAAGAAGGAATATGTGAAGCAAACTACATGAATGAACCACTATGTATATGAATCTTGTGTGCAAACCAATATTATAAACCTAGAAAATAAAAGTAATTCATGATCAAAAAATATTATTTCCCTCACTTTCTCACGTGACCCCCTCCCTTGGCCTCAGCCCCTTCTCTTTTCCTTCTCTCTCACCTGGGCAATGGTTCGATCAGGACACCAGGATCTAATAAGCAGGAGGCGTCGGAAGCAGTCAAGAGACTTATCATAGGCATTGGGAAGAGGCTCTTCTTCGGGGTTTTCCTTATCAAACCAAATTTTCCACATTTTCTCATTTCTTGAAATCTGCAAATACCAGTGGAGAAGAACCATGTCACACTACACAAACATCTTTCAGGAACACCTCACAGATATTTGTCCTCTAACATGCTGACAGTTCTAGAAATACACCAACGTTCCATTCCTTCTCTATTCTTTGACGTGGTGCACAACATACCAGGCTGCTAACTGAAAGGTCAGCAGTTCAAATCCACCAACTGCTCTGCCATATATGGATAAGCAGTCCTCTTTCATTAAGGTTTACAGCCTGGGAAGGCAGATGAGGGGTGACTGTAAATTGTAATCAATTTATAAGCAACAGGTTTGGGGAGTATGGAATAAGGAGCCTTGGTGATGTAGCAGTACACTAAGTGTTAGACTGCTAACCAAAAGGTTAGTGGTTCAAATCCATTGATTCTTCATTGGGAGGAATATGTGGAAGTTTGCAGCTGTTACTATTTACAGCTTTAAAAACCCGATTGGGAGTTGTCAGAGGGACATAACCTCCTTAATAGTGGTGGACTGGCTTAGTTACTAAGAAATCTAGTGTCAAATAAGTGTAATTTGCTCCAAGGTGATTTGTTTTCACATCAGCCTATTACAAGCTTTCAACACAGGGAGACGCCTAGATTGTTAACTATTTTTTCTGGGTTTTTGTAAAAAAAGAAAAAAACTTAAAAAAAGAAAGCACTGAAGATTCATTCTAATAATTTGAAGGAAGCCTGATTTGTTCCACACAATCTTTTCAAGATGAGGGACCAAGTTGCAGCGATCCATTTTTCTCATTTTCCCCAATGCCATTCCTGGCACAAATGAAGACTATTCATGCAGGAGGATTCTTGAGTGATACATTTTAGTCAATATTGTATCAATCTAAAATAATATTAAATACACCATTTAACTGCATCATTCCATGAATGACCAGATGCCTGATACAGTTAGATAATTGGAAAAGGGGGGAAAGACTTACCCATTATCCTTTGGAGCTTATTAGAAAACAAAGAAGCACATAGGATAGGGGGAAGAATCAAGGAAACCATTGAGCAGAGAAAGGCTGTAACCAAATATACTCTTAAATTCTACAGAATGTTGTTTCCTTTCCTTAAACGCACAACAGTATTGCTTGGTGTTTATTCAATGGAAAAACAATTTCAGGTATTTATTTAGAAAATCTCATTTAAAGAAAAATAGTTATAAGCTCTCTCAATCATGAAAGATTACACAATGTGGACACATTTCGGGCATGAAATGTAATCTCTAGAATTTAGAAATAGATAAAGCTCCCCTGTGAAGGGTAAGACAAGCCTAAATGAGAAAAAAAGCTGCACCATTGAAAAGTTCCCAAAATAAAGTTATTTGACCTGAAAAAATGATTTGTCTTTGTAGCAGCCAAGAAATAAAAAATATGCAATGCATTGGGCAAATATGGTATCAAAGACCTCTTTAAAGTGCTAAAGCGCAAGTATGTCAGTTTAAAGACTAAGGTGGGCCTGGCTAATGGCTTTTACAGTTGTTTCATATACTTATGAAAGTGAGACGTGAATAAAGGAGCCCAAAGAAGAAGTAATGCCTTTGAACAGAGATGCTGGTAAAGAGTACTGACTATACCATGGATGCCCAAAGAACAAATAATTTTGTCTAGAAATAAGCGCAACCACAGTGTTCTTTAGACCATACTTTGAACAGATTATCAAAAAGTCCTGGAAGGGGAAGTACTGTTTGGATAGATGGAGGGTCGGAGAAGAAGATGACTGTCAAGGTTATGGATTGACAGAGGGACCACCCAGTGGGTTCAGCACAGCAGAGATTGAGCAGATGCTGTATGACTGCAGGTTTTCAGGATGTTGTGCACAGGGCTGCTTTGAGGTTACTAAAAGGTTCCTAACAATAACAACAACAAACATTACCAGGTGTATTTATTAACCAAATGCAAAAACAGCAGGATCAAGACATCCAGTCAAGTTAAATACAAGATTCAAATACCAACCTTCAAACATTTTTCTGTTTGAAAAAATATTTTAAAGTTGTAGCTGAATAAGATCAACTTTTGCATCATTTTACTTTTATCTTGTTTGGTACCTGATCCTCAAGAGACTGTCTCCTGGCTTGTCCCAATCCCACCACACACATCATCTTTTGTTGCTGTTTTTGTCATGTGCTATTGAGTTGTTTGAGACTTATAGTGACTCTATGTACTGTAGATCTGAAGTGTGCTCTATCCTGAGCCGCTCTCACTGTCACAGGCATACCCACCCCTATCACCTCAGTCACAGAGTCAATTCATCTCATCCGGGGACTTCCTCTCTTGAGCTGAGCTGTCCCTCCACCTTTCCAAGCATGATGTCCTTCTCCAAGGACTGGTCCCTTCTGGCTAAGTGACCAAAGTACATGAAACAGAACTGCAAGATCTTTGCCTCCAAGGAGTAGCCTGGTTTCACCCTCTCCAAGACGAAACTTTATTTTCTCTTGGCAGTCCATGCTGTGTTCAATATTCAATACTCTTCTCCAGCACCACAACTCAGGAACTAGATTATTATGCAAGGAGAATAACTTCTAAAGTTAAGAGTCTAAATGTTTGCATTTAAATCGTAACAAGATGCCTCATGAAAGTAGACTAATAGAGGAACAAAATATGAGGAAGTAAAGTAACTAAGAAGCCAGAACGGAATTTTGGTATGCAGAGACTGGCTGTGCATTTTCAGTCCACCTAATCTTTCTAAAGAAGGCACAGCTTCTTGCACATAGCTAATTAGTTACTCTTCTCTCTCTGTTCTTCCTGCGCTGGACTCCAGGTGGTGATGCTGACATGTGGCTCAGGACAGCTTTAGTTAATCTTCTAGGACACGTTTCTTCCAGGAAGACCTGTCTGCAGTCGTTAGAGTGTCTGTTAGCAGAATTGGGCTCAGCCAAGAGAAAATCAGGGACAGGAAATAGCATTTAAGGAGTGATAATATTAGAAAGATAACATTAGGGAGCTCTGGTGGCCTGCCTAGTGGTAAGAAGCTGTGCTGTGATTCTCAAGACATATGGTTTGAATCCATCAGTTGCTCCATGGGAGAAGGATGGGCAATCTCCTCTCGTGTGATTAACTGCCTCTGAAAACCTGCTGGAGGGTCAGCGATGGATCGGCTCCAACTTGATGGTACTCAATAACAACAACAACAACAACAACCTCATCTTCCACAAAAACTGTAGCTAGTGAGAGATCAGAAAGCTGTCCACAGTTTATTCAAAACACAAGTTACCTGATCCAGAACATCTGAAAACTGCCTAAGTTTGCTGAGTTCCACTAAATTCAGCCATGTCATATCCAGGACCCATTTCGATGGTTTAGCAGGGCAGCCTTTGAGGTCCAGTGAGGCACCACCTTTAAAAGGAAACATACACATCATCATATTTTTCTCATTACAGCTTGTTCGGCTCCACAATCAACACCCTTGACACCAGCAGTCAGAAAGTCAAAAGATGAATTACGTTAGAAAAATCTGCTGTCAGACACCTCTCTCAAGAGTACTGAAAAACAACGATGTAAGTCTAGAGACTAAGGCATGCCTGATCCAGGCCATGGTCTTCACAATTACTTGCTATGCAACAGAGATCTGGCCAAGACTAAGAATTACATAAGAATCAATGCCTTTGAGTTGTGGTGCTAGAGAAGAGTCTTGAATATACATACCATAGACTGTCAAGAAAACAAATAGGTCTGTCTTGGAGAGGGTGAAACTAAGTTTCTCCTTGGAGGCTAGGATTTTGAAGCTCCATCTCACATACTTTGGGCACATGGCCAGGAGGGACTGGTCTTTGGAGAAGGACATCATGTTTGGAAGGGTAGAGGAACAGTGCAGGAGAGGAAGACCCTGGATGAGGTGGATTCATACAGTGACTGGGGCAATGGGGGTAAGTGTGTTGGAATCGGTAAGACTGGCTCAGGACAAGGCAGGTTTCAGATCTATTGTATATAGGTCCGCTATGTGTATCAGGTGACTCAACAGCATATAATGACAACAACTAATAATCTATTTTGTGTATATTAATTATAATTGTTTTACTAGCCAGCCACATACTCAACTAAGTGATAGACTTCTAGATTTAATAAGGCAATAGATGATTTGAAGAGGAAGAAATATACTTAAGACATAGTAAGCTCTGTCTGACATAATTTGGGCATGCTGCCAGGAGGGGCCAGTCCTTGGAGAAGGACATCATTCGCGGAAGGGTGGAGGGACAGTGCAGGAGAAGAAGAACATGGATAAGATGGATTGACACAGTAACTGGAGGAATGGGGGTAAATGTGTTAGAGACGATGAGATTGGCTCAGGATAGGATAGGGTAAAGAGCTGTTGCACATAAGGTCACTATGAATTTCAGTTGACTTTACAGCACATAACAACAACAGCACTGTGAAGAGCTCTGTTGCTGTAGTTCGTTGTGAGGTGATTAACTCAAAGCCTTTCTGACAGTTCCAATCCACCAGGGGTCCCATGGGAGAAAGAGGGGCAATACCTTCTTATGTGGTTTGCAGCCTCTAAAAACTCACTGGAGGGTCAGCTATGAGTCACTTCTAAGTCGATGGCAAATCCTTTAAGACAACTACCCACCACCTATCTTCAGTCTGCTGTACTGTGGTGCTTGTAAACTGCTATATTGCATGGCCAACTATACAGGACAAGATTCAATAAAGCTTCCAAACTAGACTCAGGGTGAAGTCTCTCTCAGGGAGGAGTGATAGGGAATGGCAAAGGACACACGGACAAAGAAGATTAATCAGAACTGGCTTTGACAAGTACTGTGGCATTTGGACAAGAACAAACTGGGAGGAGGGTAGAGAGAATAGTGCAACAATGAATGAATGGAAACCCAAAATCTCTGTAAATGTTTATGAAAATTAATAAAATATAATTATAGAAAAAAATAAAAAAAGGAAGAAAGACCTGGTAATCTACTCCCAAAATACAGTCAATGAAATTACAAGAGAGCTCTGTCCAATACAGACTGGAAGATGAGCCCTCTAAGGTTGGAAGACACTTGAAAGACACATTGACCACAAGAATGGACACTACTGAAACACACCATCAGTCAGGCGAACAAGGCAAAATTGTGGTTCTGTTACACACAGAGTCGCTATGAATGTGAGCCGCTAGACTACAAGTAATAATACGTCCATGAAGTCAGAAAGACCCTAATTTCTGTCCTTGGGCCACCCTGCAAATGTCTAGGACAAGTCATCTCTTCGGGCATCTGAAACCAATCTAGCTGAGTTCTGTGATGATGACAGGCAAGCACCCAATGGAAAGTCGAGGACATATCAGCAGTGACGATATTATTTACATCCATACTGAATCCGCTCCAAGGGCTCTGTGATAAAACATAATTTATATTCAATCTACTCAAGCGCAGGAAACACTTCTATTTGGTGTTAAAGCTTCACTTTTGTCTGGTGACTCATCTAAGGCTATGTAACTTGTCTCATAAATTAATGTCAATTAAAAATGCCATTGCTTCCCTCTGCCAAAAAAACAAATGGTTACTCAATCATATTTAAATGTGAAAAGTTACCTACCAAGTCTTCTATAGTAGAAAATGTATTGTTTAATAAATAACTTCCCCACTAGTTCAAATAAATTATATTCTTGAAGTATTCCAAGGAAAAATATCCCTAGGCACCATCTTTAAATCATATATCTAATCCATTTGACTATCCTTAAAATTCCTTTTTTAAAAAAGAATTTTAAAAAACAGATCGTAATGTTGAGGATATTTATGAGTCAATCTCTACTGTAGCCAGGTGCCAGGCTGACTCTTAAATTGTTATTTCTTGCCAAGCCTATCTTAGCATATTTCCAAGAAAATAAAGGTGGCCTTGAAGTCATTCAAGTGGAAATATTATCTCATAAAAAAAAAAAGCCACTGTTTTAACACTAGACAGCAGTTAAATACCTAAAGACAAAGTTGTACCAATTTCCGGGCAAATGATTATTTTCCAAGAAGCTGAATGGAATAAGGTATTAAGTAGAACATTGATGAAAGGTTATTCAGTTAGAGAAAGACCAGACGCTTAAAGGACAAGGCACTGGCCATCCTTTAGTATAGGGTAGCTGTCATGAGGGTGGGAGTTCAGTGGTAGAATTCTCATCTTCCCAGAGGGAGACCTGAATTTGGTCTTGTCCAGTGTATCCCATGCACAATCATCTGGCAGTGAGAGATTATATGCTGCTAGGAGGATGAGCCAATTTCAGCCAATATAAACCCTCTGGATCACAATGGCCCAATGTACTCAACAGTCAATCATTGGGATGGTACAGGATTGGGCAGAATTTTATTCCATGATCCATGGGGTCACTAGGAGTCATGGACCAATTTGACGACAACTTACCGCAAGAACACTGAATACAATTTTTGAAAAGTATACAATGGACACACAGAATGGCTTTAATTGGAACAGTGGAAGGGACATATTCCTGATTATATAATCATAGAGTAAAGGCATTCATGTCTATAAAATAATAACAAGATGCAGTCTCAAAATTAGGAAGAGTTGTGGTCTATCTAGCATCCTTTTAAATCTTGCTCTGTGGGGAAAAAATAATCTTTAGCAAAATATTTTATAAGCATGATAAATGTAAAGAATAATTTATACAAATTGTACCACACACTATATGGATTACATTTCCATTTGAGAACAAAAACCTTTCACAACTGAGCCAATAAACAGCATCGGATGTGATCTTCCGATCCATAATCTACGTCCAAGGAAGCAATCATACGACACATTGGGCAAATCTTCTGTCAAGGACATTGTTAAAGTGTTGAAATTCAAGTTTCATCAGTGTTTTGTAGTGTTTCAAGGTGTTACGTCTACTATGAATCATAACCAACCGGTTAGTTAACACCTAATAACAATCTAAAAAACCAAAACCCAACCAACCCATTGCCATTGAGTTGAAACCAATTTCTAACGACATAGATCAGGAAGAGACTGCTCATGTTTCTCCGGCAAAGCCACTGGGGGATTAGAAACACCTGTCTTGGTTAACTCGTTACTGATTAGGGAGCCCCTCTAACAATAATGTTGCTCTATGTCAGGGCCATTCATAGTGGATTCCTCCAGCAGGCGTTCTGAGGCAGTAAATCTCAAAGGACGAGATTGTCCACCTTTCCGCCTTACAGTGGCTGGTGAATGGAAACCTCGTGCCTTTGTTTTGACGGTGAATTTACTTAGTGAATTTACTTACCACTAAGCCAAAAGAGCTCCCTAAAATAATAGACTGCATGATTTATTTCTTTTCTTATTTTTACTTTTTTGTTGTTGTTGTTATTACTCGAGAGAGCTCTGGTCTAGCTCTTAAGTGCTATGGACCTTAAGATGTCCACAGGAAGTTATGTTGCTAGGCTACAGGCATCACCTCTTGGGGAGTTCAAATCCACTAGTGACCCCTAGGAAGAAATCTCCTCCTGTGCAAATAGGGCCTCTCCAAAGCCAGCTGGAGAGAAACAACAAGTCCGTTTCAATGAATCCATGTCAATGAGTTTGGCTACTGCTTATTTTATTATTTTGTACACATACAGAGAGCTATAGGGAGCTCTGGGGCTTAGCAGTAAGGAGGTGCACTGCTAACACAAAGGCATGTGGTTCAAATCCACCAGTTGCTCCATGGGAGAAGGATGAGTGATCTCCTCCTATGTGATTTACTGCTTCTAAAAACCCACCGTAAGGTCAGCTATGAGTCCATTCCAACTCAGCAGTACATAATGATAGATAGATAGATAGATAGATAGATAGAT